ATTTTTTACAGAGAGGAAGGGAGAGGAATAGAGAGTTAGAAACATCGATGAGAGAGAAACATTGATCAGCTGCCTCCTGCATACCTCCTACTGGGGATGTGCCTGCAACCAACGTACATGCCCTTGACCGGAATCGAACCTGGGATGCTTCAGTTCGCAAGCCGATGCTCTATCCACTGAATCAAACCCGTCAGGGCCAGACTTTTGTTTGTTAACGGTTGTGTTTTTTTTTTTTAGATGACACCAGACTGGGATAACTACTGAATACATGGACTAATATGTTAAGTTAAATACAGGGTGTCATAGACAACATTTTTTTGTAGATCACCTTTTTAATTGGACATGGAAGAGTAATTCAAACAGGATGAGACTGGGGGCTGGTGCATATTTACTGCGTAGACAACATATTGATGAAGCAACAGTAAAATCTAGTGATAGCCTATTCACAAGAATGGAGAAGTGTAGTGTTTTTAGCATGTCTGTGGAAGCTGCCTTTTCACTCTTGGCAACTGAAGGCTCTGCCAAATCCAGGGTACAGAGATGATTCCTGAAAGGCATATACCTCCGTATCTAACATTGTGCCTGGCATACAGAGAGGCTCTTTCTTTTAATAAATAAAGGGGGAAGCATTGATTGTAGAGTGGTGAGATTGGCAGTGATGGTTTCCCTCAAGAAGGAGGTAGAGCAGGTGATTGTAGAGGGTTCATGGTCCAAATAACCAATCAGGGAAAGGAAAGAGCTTGAGAAATTGAGTCTCATACTAGGAGGTCTAAGCTGGAAAAGGAGAAGGACAGAGGTAAAGTTTGGAGATGACTGAGCAAGTGAAGAGAGAAAGAGGTTAAGCCAGAGAGTTGGGAAGTTAACAGTTATGATTTCAGGTGTGGATCCCTTCTGGATTGTGGTGAGGTCCAACAGGTTTGGGAATAAGGTTTTAAAATGGAGGAAGGGGGGAGGTTGTAGGATGAAGTGTTCAGGGAGCTCTGATTCTAGGTATTTGGATGAATGATCTTATGTGAGCATTAAAGAGGTGTAGGAAATGACTCTTAGCCAGGTGCCAAAGTTGTCAGGAAATGTGGGGGAGAGATTGATCAGGATGTGAGTATCCTCCTATATAATAAGAGGCTAATACGTAAATTGTCCCCTCGGGAGTTCGACCACTTGCTATGATATGTGCCGACCACGAGGGGGTGTGGCGCAGAACGAAGGAAGGCCCCGATCGGCCCTGATTGTTGGCCAGGCCTAGGGACCCTACCCGTACACAAATTTCATGCACCAGGCCTCTAGTATGATAGATAAGTGACAAGGAGAAATAGATGATGGATTTTTTTATCTGAGTGAAAGGCCATGTTTTAGAAAAAGGACAGTAGAAAGATAAGAGAAGGTTTAGAAGATAGGTTTGTAAGCTATAGGAGAGCACTTTGTTCTATGAAGAATATAGAATAGTATTTTTCTTATTTAAATCATACTGCAGAGAAAACTTGATGTGACCAGTATGAGTCTATAGGGGAGTTTGTTTACACTGAAGCAAGGTTCCATTGGGCACAGTGGAAAGGGTTGAGAGGGAATTGGGATGGGAAGATGGGTCGTTGGGGAGGTGCTCAGAGCTGTGTGAGGATGAGAATTGAGAGGAGAGATGGTCTGGGTTGGGGTTCTGTGAAAAGGAGAAAATTACTTCATAAACAGTCTCTAATAGACTGACTTGGTTTATTTGGCTTTACTTAAGAGATCTATTTTAATTTCACTATCTTGGCTTCATTTCTGTGATATTTGAAAATGTGGTTTAATTTCCTTTTACATATTCATATTTTAAATATATAAGCAATGATACTTTTTAAAAGCCATGTTAATGAGGTAAGTAAAAAGGAGAAGTTAAACCTCAATAATTTTTGAACTCTCCTATCCAGGGACATCATTTTGGTATATAATCCTCTGGACTTTTTCTCATCTAAACATATACATGTGTATTTAATTTTTGAAAATATATTGTGTATATTGCAGTTGCCTGCTTTTTTCCACATAACAATACCTAATAAATATCCTTTGTCAGAATAGGTAGTTGTTGTAGTAATCCATTCTAGAACTGTACCATATTTATTTAATAATCTTGTTATTGGGCTTTTGAATACTATCCATTTTTTTATTATAAATAAGGCTAGAAAGAAAAACCTTGTGTGGACAACTTGGCATATTTATGTGAGTCCTTTGGGTACAGTTCTAGGAGTTTTCAAGGTCAACAGTGTACTTTTTTATTTAATTTCTTTTCTGTCTCTTTTTCTCATAATTTAATATTTGACTGAGACATCCTCTTTGTATTGTTAATCTGGGGACATGTTTAGATATATTTGGCGAGCAGTGTAAAAAAATCAATGAAATAGGCATATTATTGTTTGTAAGTTAACAATTTACCATTTTTGGTAGATATTTAATAAAATTTTTTCCCCAGGTAGGGAAGCCAAAAACATTAGCCTGCAAATCTTTAGGTTATCTTCTCCCAAAAGGCTTGTACATTTAGGACATAGACAGTGGAATTGAGATAATTATAAAAAATTGTTTAAGCTCTAAGTTAATAATGTCTTCAGAATGCATGGAAATGATTAACACAGTTTTCTTTGATTACTTTTTTTCCAGGTGATTCATGGCAGGGGAGATGGAAGGATTCTGTTCCTCCCTCCATGACACCAGTGTCTCTGCTGGGTTCAGAACACTGTATGAGGAGCGACTGCTGCTTGATGTCACTCTGGTTATTGATGACCATCAGTTCCATGCCCATAAAGCACTTTTGGCCACTCAGAGTGACTACTTCAGAATTATGTTTACTGCAGACATGCGGGAGCGTGATCAGGACAAAATTCACTTAAAAGGTCTAACTGCTACTGGTTTCAGCCACGTACTTCAGTTTATGTACTATGGAACTATAGAACTGAGTATGAATACCGTTCATGAGATTCTTCAGGCTGCCATGTATGTTCAACTTATAGAAGTGGTGAAGTTCTGCTGCTCTTTCCTGTTAGCGAAAATCTGCTTAGAAAACTGTGCCGAAATCATGAGACTCTTAGATGATTTCGGTGTGAACATCGAGGGAGTTAGGGAGAAGCTGGAATCCTTTCTGCTAGACAACTTTGTGCCACTCATGTCCAGGCCTGACTTCCTGTCTTATCTGAGTTTTGAGAAGCTCATGTCTTATTTGGATAATGATCATCTGAGCAGGTTCCCAGAGATAGAGCTGTATGAGGCTGTGCAGTCTTGGCTGCGGCATGATAGAAGACGTTGGAGACATACCGATACCATTATTCAGAACATCAGGTTTTGCTTGATGACCCCATCCAGTGTTTTTGAGAAGGTTAGTGCATTTGAAAGCAATAGATGGTACTCATTTAGTTAAGGCAGGATATTTTTATAGATAAGATTCCCAGGCTTGGTCAGGAGCCAAAAAGAGAATGAATAGTTGATAAGAATAGTTTGATGTCTAAGAAGTCTAATTTGTTTTAGCTTGTGCATTTAGGTTTTTAAAAACATTTTGTGGGTGAAAGAAGAACTAGGTAAGTAGTGGAGTGGTTTCATTTTAAAAGTTCTTTTAAAGTTGAAGCACAATTATTTAGCCCAAAATATTACAAGCTTGCTTTGGCTCTTCTTTCTTCACTAAGTAATGAACTCTGAATTGTGTGAGGCTAGTTCTCGATTTTCCCCAACGAATTCATCTCTTTATTGCATATTGCTATTTAAAAAATGTACGACTTCTTAACACATACATTTTTTTCTTTAGTTCTCTTTTTAAAAAATTTAAATAATACATGCTGAAATTAGAGTTGAGGAGTTTTTTAGTTCTGAATGATGCATTAATACAGTTTCATATTCCTCTAAAATGTAAGAAAACATAAAATAGCTCTAGAAAACCAGTAGGTTCTAGTGGCGATTTCTGTCCCCTACTCTTACTTAGTTCTGTTTTCCCCTGTTTCACTGTGCATGCTAACTACATTTAACCATGAAAATTATATTTATATCTGAAACCATTGTTTCTACATGTCTAAACAAATAGATCATAAATTCTTTATCTATATTGATCAAACTGTGCACTTTTTACCATGTAATAGTTTTGCTATCGTAAAAATAGTTTTTCTCCAAAGCAGCCTTGGCCTTGTTGCATGTAAGCATTTTTCATTTTTATATCAGAGTCTCACTTGTGATCTTTTCTTGCCCAAAGGAGAGAAAGCAGTTTCAGTAATTGCTTAACTTAATTGGTTTCTAATCACATGGTTACCTCTGGGGCTCTGTTTATCTTGCATCTTTTCTTCTTTCTAGAAAGCATTTGTAAAGCTTTGGTCGACACCCTTCATGTTAAATAGTTCTTAAGCTTTAGTTACCAAACCTGGTGATAAAAATACAATATTGCAAAAGAAGGCCGTATATACCATTTGAAAAATAAACAGATTTGCGCCTTCGAATAATAGCAGCCTGGCATATTCTTTTCCCTTTGAAATAGCATTAACTTATACTTTTATTTTTTCTACATGAAAGAGAATGGAGAGTAAATGAATATTTATACTTTAATAAAGAATTCAGTTCTCTGGGATTTTATTACCTTTATTCTTAGAACGTACTAAGGCAGAAATAATTGAAACTAAATATATTTCTTAATTATTTTTGTTCAGTGATAATCATAGTACACCATCTATGTAAAGCTTTTGTCTCTGTTTTGATTTTTTTCCTTCTGTTTTTATTCCTCTCTTTCCCGGGGGGAATCTTGTTTTGTCTTTATACATTAAATACAAATGCTTTTCCACTTCTACAACAGAGAAAAACCCTCCAACTAGATGGAAGTACCTGTGAAATAGAAAATAAAGTTTCCCCTCTTGTGAGACAATATGATGGATAATTGATAGCAGTAAGTGATTTTTAAGTGCCAAGCTACAGAACCTTTTTATATCCCAATTATCAGTTCAAGCTGGTCAATAGTGACAGTGGCTGCAAGTTAATAACATCAGATAGTTTTGTAAATCATATAAAATATCAGTTGTACCTTCTGATGGATTGTTTGCATAGGAGGTAGTTATTATCCATTGGCCAGGTATTGGGAATCTCATCAGAACGAAAATGTTGTAAGGCTTCTTTCTTTCTTTTTTTTTTTTTAAATTGTTTTTTTTTTAATATATTTTATTGATTTTTTACAGAGAGGAAGGGAGAGAGATAGAGAGTTAGAAACATCGATGAGAGAGAAACACCGATCAGCTGCCTCCTGCACATCTCCCACTGGGGACGTGCCCGCAACCCAGGTACATGCCCTTGACCGGAATCGAACCCGGGACCTTTCAGTCCACAGGCCGACGCTCTATCCACTGAGCCAAACCGGTTTCGGCAAGGCTTCTTTCTTGAGTTGATTTCTTAGGAAAACTAAATAAGGCTCTGGCCACTGAGAAATCTTCATTTTATTTTAATAATACTGGTAAGATAAATGGAAGGTAGTTAGTGATTCTTGTCTTAGTGTATGAGTTAATGTTTATCAAAAGAATCTATGGCTTTCAAAATGTTGCTAAACACTAAGTAAGCTAGATTTGAGACTTTATCTCTAGTAATAAAACTTCAGAAATCAAACTAAACTGGAAAATTTGGTTAGGAAGTAAGAATTTGGACTATTTCACACAATTATACAGGGTGGGGCAAAAGTAGGTTTATAGTTGTGAGTACACGAAACACTAGAGTTTATTCTTGTATTATTAATTATTTTATTGTTTTCCATATGAACAGCTGTAAACGTACTTTTGCCCAACCCTGTATTTTGAGCTTGAAAATTGGGTCTATTTTCCCTGTGCTTAGCAACTGCAGGTTTCAAACAAGGCTGTTTTAATATCCATTATAATGCCAGAAAGGGCACAGAAATAAAGACATGTTACAACTGTGCTGGTTCTTTTTTAGTATGAGAAACTATGTGAGGAAATGCATAGACAGTTTTGATTTGTAGTTTTATCCTATTTGCTGAAATTTAGAAAAATGGAATATTGATATGTACTTTTTACATTTAGGTTTAAATTTTTTAAAGCTTTGTATTATGAGACTTTCTAAGCATATGAAAAAGCTGAAAGAATAGTAAAATGATCACTTGTAAACATATCTTGTAGGTTAATAGTTGTTACTGTTCTACCACATTGACTTTAGCTACCTAGCTAGGCTTATCATATTTGCCTTACATAGATTTGTTTTGCTGAATCTCTGAAAATAAGTTACAAACATCATGACATCTTATTCCTAAATACTTAATGTGCTGCTCCTCTGAATAAGGACTTTTTTTCTACCTAAGTTCAATGCCATTCCACTAGGAAAATTCACAGTAAGACCGTACTATCATCTAATAGCTAGTCCATTATCAAATTTTCCCAGTTGTCCCCCAGTTGCCCTAGAATCTAGTCATGGTTTATGCATTGCTGTTTGTTATCATGTCTGTCTAATATTTTTTAATCTAAAAGAGTCCACCTCCTTTTTTTTAGTTAATCCTCACCTGAGGATATTTTCCATTGATTTTTAGAGAGAGTGGAAGGGAGAGGGAGAGAGAGAAAGAGAGACACTACACATCAATTGGTTGCCTCCCACATGAACCCCGACCAGGGCCAGGGCTTGAGCCTGCAACTGAGGTACATGCCCTTGACCGGAATCAAACCTGGGACCCTCCAGTCCCAGGCCAATGCTCTATCCGCTGAGTCAAACCGGCTAGAGCACTTTTTTTTTTACGATAAATCACTGATTGTCTTAGTGTGTTCCAAATTCTGGATTTATCAGATTATTTTCTTGTGTAGGTGTTAATTTAGTTCCTCTATTATATTTCTTGTTAACACATCTCCGTTTTAGCACCATTTTTTTTTTCAGGAACAATTACAGGAAAATACTGCAATGCCAGAGTTAGTCTTGGAAAACCATTTAACAACTCTGACCAAACTTGGAATATATCGCTCTTTTTTATATTAGGAGGCTAACTAGTCCAATCCTATGACTAAAATTATCAAAATTTTATTTACACTATTCTGTGTTTCGTTTAGATTCATAAAATTTCCCTCCCCTTTTAAAAAATTTAGAGCTGTTCCATTTAATTTATTGGGGGTAAAGCTAACTAAAGAGTTAAAATTAAGATTATTCTTATATAAAAATTAGTGTATATCTATGACTCTAGGACTGTACTGTTCAATATGATTGCTGCTTGTGGCTATTGAATAGTTGAAATTTGACAAGTCTGAATTGAGATTTTAAAGACTACAGTGACAAAACAGATGTATATTACCTTATTCGTAATTTTTATATTGGTTACATGTCCAAATGATATATTGGGTCAAATAAAATATATTAAAATCAGTTTCATCTTTTTTATGTTGTTAATCCTCACCTGGGGATATTTTTTCCATTGACTTTTTAAAAAAAATATATTTTATTGATTTTTTTTTTTTTTTACAGAGATGAAGGGAGAGGGATAGAGAGAGAAACATCAATCAGCTGCTTCCTGCACACCCCCTACTGGGGATGTGCCTGCAACCAAGGTACATGCCCTTGACCAGAATCAAACCTGGGACCCTTCAGTCTGCAGGCCGATGTTCTATCCACTGAGCCAAATCGGTTAGGGCTCCATTGATTTTTTTTTTTAAAGGAATCTGAAATTTATTTTTTATTTTTGAGTTAATCCTCACTTGAGGATATTTTTCCATTGATTTTTAGGGAGAGTGGAAGAGAGAGGGAAAGAGAGAGAAACATCAATGTGAGAGAAACACATAGATTGGTTGCCTCCTGCAGGAACCCTGATCAGGGGGTCAGGGCCGGACAGGAGCCTGCAACCAAGACACATGCCTTGATTGGAATTGAACCAGGGACCCTTTGTTCCACAGGCCGACACTCTATCCACTGAACCAAACCGGCTCGGGCTTTTTCCATTGATTTTTTTTAGGAGAGTGGAAGGGAGGGATGGGGGGAGAGGGAGAGAGAAACACCAATGTGAGAGAGACATCAATTGGTTACATCCCACACATACCCCAACCTTTCAGTGTGAGGGCTGACACTAACCATTGAGTCATGCCAGCCAGGGCCAGGCTATCTCCATTTTATAAATAAGAAAATGAGCTCCAAAAGGATAGGAATCTTATCCCAGAACAAGTGGCGCTTCCCAGACTGAAACCCAAGTCTGTTTCTCTGGGTCCAAGGATTTCCGATTATAGCTGCCAGAGGTGCAAGAAGCATACAGTTAATTAATCCTGTGGTCCAGCTTGGGTTGTTTTAGAAGTTGTTATGGAGTTGTGAAAATTCAAAGGTATTTGCATGAACAAAACATAGCCTAAGAAATTTAATGGTACTGAAAAAAGTAAAAGACAT